ATACAGTAAAACAAAAGAAGACCATTTGAAACATTTGCGCAAAGTATTATCAAAACTTAGAGAACATAGATTATATGTCAAATTAAAAAAGTATGAATTATTCAAAAACAAAGTTGAATATCTTGGACATTATATATCCAGTAAAGGAATTGCCATTGATGAAAGGAAAGTAGAAGTAATTAAAAAATGGCCTAATCCTACCAACTTAACAGAACTTAGATCATTTTTAGGACTAGCTTCATATTATAGGAAATTTGTAAAAAATTTCTCTGCCATTATCTCCTTTTTAACTACTTTACTACGAAAGGATATACCATATAAATGGAAATCAAATCAACAGGAAGCTTTTGACAAATTAAAAGAGAAGTTAACCTCTGTACCTGTCTTACTTATTCCAGATCAAATCAAACCTTTTACTGTAACTACTGATACCTCTGACACTGCCATTGGAGCTGTACTGAGTCAAGATCATGGTAAAGGTGACCAACCTATTGCATTTGAATCTATAAAATTAAACTCTGCTGAATTAAATTATGCAACTTATGAAAAGGAACTACTGGCAATAGTTCATGCTATTAAACTTTGATGTCCCTATCTTGAAGAAAAACTATTTATAATTATTACAAATCACGTAGCTTTAAAATTTATTAAATTACAATCAAACCTCTCCAGAAGACAAGCTAGGTGACTTAAAGTCTTACAATCATCCAATTTTGATATTAAATACTGACCGGAAAAAACAAATGTGATAGCTGATGCATTATCTTGAGTTCCTCAACTTTTAAACATTAATACCCTTAATATCAATCTAATTGACAAAGAATTACTTATTAATGAATACAAGAATGACTCTTATTTTGAACCAATTTATCAAGTATTAACGTCCAAAGAAGATAAACCCCCAAGCACACAACTTTGAACTCCATGATGAATTAATTTATCTCAGAAGTGAGAAACGACTTGCAATTCTTAACAATAAGGAATTATGAACACTTTTGTTACATGAATGTCATAATTTAATTATTGTCAAACATTTGGATACTGAAAAGACTTTGGAGTTAGTTCAACGAAATTATTTTTGATCAAGAATAGGAAAAGATATAAAGAATTATGTCACTAGTTGTGACTCCTGTTAAAGAAATAAAGTTTTTAACCAAGTACCTGCTGGACTATTACAACCTCTAGACATATCAGAACACCGATGGAACTATATTACAATGGATTTTGTAGTACAATTATCAAAAACCACAAAGAAACATGATGCCATAGTTGTCTTTGTAGAAAAACTATCTAAATGAATCTATTTTATTCCTACTACTACTGATGTAACAGCCCCACAAGTAGCTGAAATATTTTTTAATACTATATTCAAAAACCACAGATTACCTAAAGTAATTATCTCTGATAGAGATCCTAAATTTACCAGTCACTTTTGAAAATCACTTTTTGAAAAATTGGAAATAAAACTTACAATGTTAACTTCTCATCACTCACAAATAGATGATTAAACTGAACGCATGAACTGTACCATAGAAGAAATATTACGAGCATATACAAACTACCAACAAAACAATTGGAATGAATTATTACTTGCAGTAGAACTTACTTACAATAACTCTAAAAATCTATCTACTGGTTTTACACCTTTTGAAATTAATTTAGAACAACATCCAAATACACTTATTACTTTTGCAGCTGGAAAACAAACAAATGTTGTCACAACTGATGACTTCCTATTAAAATAGGAAAATATTATTAATCTTACAAAAGATAATTTGCACTTAGCTCAAGAACAACAACAACAATATGCCAACAAACACTATCATGAACTTACTTTTGAAGAAGTAGATAAAGTTCTAGTAAATACTATCAATATTAATGATCCTGTACAAACCAACTGACCAACTCGCAAACTCGCTCTTAAATTTATGGAACTATATAAAATTGAAAAAGTTATCTCTACAACTACATATCGGCTAAAACTACCGCATAATTTGAAGATTTACCTTGTCTTCCATGTATCAATGCTAAAACCATATAGAGAAAACCTAACTAACTTTAATCACGATATATTACCACCACCTGAAGTAATTCCTAAAACCAATGAAGAGGAATATGAAGTAGAAACAATTTTGGACAAGAAACTAATGCGTAAAAAACTTTTCTACCTGGTCAAATGGAAAGGATACCCCTTGCATAATGCCACTTGGGAACCTAAGGAAAATCTCACCAATGTCGCTAATATAGTAACAGCTTTTGAGAATTCACGAGAACGTTGAATTCTAAGAAGGGAAGAATATAACAGTTTCGACTATGTCGTAGCTTACGTAGTTGACGAGTAACAACTTCTACCTATTTTATTTATTTTATTTTACTTTTATTTTTATTATTTTACTTTCTATTTTATTATTTATATTTTTATCTTTATATTTTGATAATGAATAATAGCATATGAAAAAAAAAAAAAACTCTTTCCCGAATTATTTTGTAATACAAAATACGCAGCAATATTATAGTAAAATTGTTTCATTATTATTTCGTTTTAATTAAAAGTTCAGAAACTTGGCACAATGAGTGATAGCTCATCCAGCGGCCCCCCAAGGAGGTTTCACAATCAAATATACAAACACAACTAAAAAACTAAAGAAACAATCCCATTAAAAAATTGAACAAAACAGCGGCATCTTTTATTTCAAAAGAAACAACAAACATAAAAAGTAACATTAAAAACAACAGTGAAATCAAAGATATGGAAGTTACGGTCACGATAGAGCAACCTGAAGTAATAATTAATAATGACAACGATAAAGGTAAAGGAAAACAAATTGACTTTGAAGATTTGACAATTGATATCGAAGAAAATAACGGGAACGAATGGACCGAAGTAACAAATAAAAAGAAAAAGGCAAAAAACATAGACAACACGGCAATAGATCCTGAAGTAATAGAAGAAGATAAAGAATCAGTATTATCATATGAGACTGAT